TTATTACAGATAATCAATACTTGTTTAAAGTAATAAATGAATATAGTAATATAAATTTTATGAATTCTATAGCTCAAATCATTTCTTGTTGGAATTTCATGTGGCAAAGATGGAGGGAGATAGGTCAGTGTCATCCATGGCAATTATATCTCTATAACGTTCTACTTTTTCTTACTGATGGTCTTTATACGTTTATACTTTTTCTTACTGATGGTCTTTGTACGTACTGTGCTACTCAGGGTGAAGACTCATAGTTCTTAGAACTTCATAGTGGGATAATATTTTCACTTTAGAGAATAGCCCCCATCATCCTTATTAATACACTTTGTCTGCAATGTTACTTTGTAAGAAAAGACTTTTCTTCAGTATATTCATGTGATAGTTTTCGCCCAATGTTTTCTTTTTAAATTGTGTTTTATTTTAGGTTTGTTTCTCAGAAAAGACATATTTTGGATTTCATTGTCTTTGTCTTTTTTCAGTGTGAAGTTTGACCTTAGTTTATTTTTATGACTGTAACATTTGATTTTATTTCTAGCTTCTTGTTTAAATATTTTATATCAGAATCCTCTGTTTTCTTTTTAGCTGACCCTTGCTCCATGGGCTGATTGCTTTTTTGGTTGCCTTCTCACATTAGTACCAACTTATATGCATATGGACAATAGTTTACAAAACTAAAATTTTGGTAACCAGTAACCAGTAAACAATTCTTAATTCCATTTAATGTTCAGTGTTTAAAGAAAATATCTAAAGACATATGAGTTTCTTTTCTTTATCACCAAATTCTTCATGTGTCTATATAGCTGCAGAATTTTCCTTGAATTTGAAAGGCTTTACCAGGATTTGCTGATGTGTTGGTGCTATAAAATTATTTTTCCTGGATTGTGATTCATAAATATAATCATAGACTAATCTAGGTCCACATTTTATTTTCAGCAGTTTTCTCTTATATTATAGCTTATTTGTTTTATCTACTCCCTCATCTTCTCACTGAAATGTTATTATCTTATAGCTTGTATTTTTCTCTCTATTCTTTCTCTGCTGCCTCCTTTCATATTCTTTTTAATATGTTCATGATTCCTGTCTCTGCAATACATATTATTATTATTATTTTTTAAGATTTATTTATTTATGCATACAAGAGCTGGGGCACAGGCCAGAGATGCGGGGGGGTAAGAGGATTCACCGGAGACAGTGGGGAACAGAACAGGCAGATTGACTGAAGTACACTGCTGAGGGGAGCAGCTGGTGAGAGAGCAGAGGTCTGCCTCACCATGTGGGCTGCTCCCTGGCTGGCCAGGGATCGAGCTCGTGCTGCAGAGGCTGCGGATTGCTTCACAGTGCAGAGCTTAACCGCCTGCACCACCAGGGAGGCCCCACATATTGTTCTACTTATTGTCATCAATGTATAATTTAATTATTGTAAAAATCATTAATTTCCCTGGTTATTTTCTCATTTATAACAACTTTCCTGATTTTTTTTCCTGATTTCACTTCAGTCAGGTCTCTGTTTTAAGTGACAGCTCAGACACTAGCAAATGTTCTTTTTATGAAATAGAGGTCAAATTATTTTTTATTTTATTCTAGACACTTCCACATAATACACATTGGGTAGAAAAAATGGAAAACAAATAATATAATTCATAAATTTTTATAAACCAGTTTCAAAGTAGCTGTTGTTTAATATCTGTCTCTCTTCCCATTACACCCATTTTACTGTTATATGGTCATCCTTTCCATAAAACTTTATCCACAACTACAGTTTAGAAATGTGCCAAAGTAAAAAGAAATATTTAAATTAGAAAATGTGCTGAGATTAAATTTTGCTTTATAAATAACATTATGACAAAGCACTTGGCCTTATGTACCCTGACACAGTAGATACTGTCAAACATTTTTCTGACTTTGACAGAATTTTTGAACAACACACTGATCCTAGTATGATGTATCAAGTCATTGATCTTTATTTCCAAATCATTACTCTATAAAGATCTTAGGTTCATATTTATAACTTGCTATTTTAAGATTTTTTTTGATAATTATGTGTTTATTGGAAAACAAGGGTAGTTTTTGTCATTTCTTAATGTTCTAAGAACATATTTTTATAAACCACTAAATTTCATATTTGAAATTTCTGAAGAGCTAGTTAGAACAATTCATAACAATGTAGCAGTGACCCTTTTGAAATGTCTTTTGATATTCTTCTATGCACGTTTCTAAGAATTCTTTTATAGTAAAAATTATAAAATTAAGAGAAAATTCCAGAATGTATTGATTGCATTAACTAGCCCTCATTGTTTTCTATATCTGACACCTTAAAACTATTTTTATCACTTCTGAGGAAACATAGAAGGATAAATATAGCAATTGTTCTGATTGGTCATATGCATGTGACGTATTGGTCAATAAAAGAGTAGTGAATATTTTGCCTTACATGATGCTCTGTTTCTTATTTTTTTTACCTTAAATTAAACATGGATGTTCCATAGAAAGTCAAATTCAGGAAGATATATAGCATTTTGCTACCTGGACAAATGTGATCAATTGATTGATTTAGTTACATAGTTCTTAACAGTTATAGAAGAAAAACACATGTTCAGAACTCAAGAAAAGAGATCTTTAGTCATACATATGATTGAAGAAAATAAATAACATATAACTTTTTATATTAAAGATTATAATATGAATCTTTTCTCTAAAAACTTCAGTATTTTTATAAAAGGCAGCATTATCCTTGATATCTAATAGTATTGATAACCATTTTTAATGCTTTATTTTCTGTCAAAGTGCTTCCCTGTATGTTCTTACTATTTTTACAGGATTCACTATACTACCCAAAGAATTAATATTATGTAGGAATTGGCAATTATTTTCTTATCAGTAAAGAAAACATTCTAAATTTAGGGTTTAAAGGATTCCAGTCCCAGCTACACCATTAATTCTGGAGATATGGGAGAATTCATCGAACTTTTTGAAGTTTTGTTTATTCATCTGCAAAATAAATTACCTCTAAGTCCTAGAGAAAGTAACTTCTACTACAGTGATTTGTGATATTAATATTTATAATGCCTTCCAACAGTAATACTCACCTGAAACTTTCATTTTCTCCTCTCTCTTTTTCACAGATCACTTTAGGCTTATATATAGCATGTTCCTCCTCTGTCTGATTTGCATGCTTACAGATTCCACCGTTCTCTTTTTCCACAGATATTTTATGACAGTGGTATCTTAATTTGTTTTTCTATGTCACCTTTTTCTTTAACGGTATCCTAAGCTCACTTCACACTGTTCTCTAATCTCAGTTGCTTCCAAATCTTCTGACAGCACATTATGAAGTCTTGTGACCACTGTTTCTCTCTTCTTTCCCACACATGCCTAAGGAAAGGGCTCTCTTATCAAAACTAAATATTTGCATCAGATATCCTCAGCATCAAGTTAGGTATAGATCGGTGCAATTCCTTATAATAGACAGGGCAGGAATCATCACCTTGTTTTTCAGATGAAGAAATTAGTCAGTAATTTAGGAGGTTAAGAAACAATATGCACACAACTTCTTAGTTAAAGGTATGTTTTCTATACCATGGCCCTACCCGAGCAGGCAAATTTATGGTGAGGGGAAAAGAGGGAGGGAAAGAGAGAAAGAAAAAGAAAAAGAAAGATTAAAATGTAGTGGTTTTCCATTCAGAATAAAAGGCCACAAGGGGCCTCCCCTGGTGGTGCAGTTGTTGAGTGCTGGCTGTGAAGCCTGTTCGATCCCCGGCCACTGGCTAGGGTCCCACATGGCGTGCAGACCTCTCCTGCTGCGCCCGCTGCTCCCCTCAGCAGTGTATTTCAGTCCATCTGCTTGTTCTGTTTCCCACTCTGGCTCTGGTGAATTCTCTCACCCTCCCGCGCTTCTGACTGTACCCAGTGCTTGTATAAATAAATAAATCTTAAAAAAAAAAAAAGAATAAAAGGCCACAAGACTAGAGAATCCAAATTTTTTTAACACTCAGGCAACTGATTTCCTGACTATCAATCTTGGGCATTTCCTAGATGAAAAAGTGATAAAAATCAAATATTTGGAAATTAAAAATATGTATGGGTGAGCAAAAATATACTGCTCACTTTCTGCTATGATTAAGAAAAGAAAGCATCTTTACCAATAACATACAAAATGAAATTTATATTTTAATGTGGAAAACTTTAGGGGGCTCATGTTCAATAAAATCTCCATAGTGATCATTAGCAAAAAAGAAGAGTGTAATTGAATATAAACTGAATTCATCTGTGCAGATAGATAATCCAATGGGAAAAGTAAAGATATATTTTCATCAGGCATGTGAAAGATTTTCAGGGGTTTGTGGGACTCTCTAGCAGAATCAACTGGAGGAGCATACTTCTGTAAGCATATGAAGTTTGAAAAACAGGTGAATTTTAAAATAATTGACAGCGTGAATATAGTAATGTTGTTTAATCATAACATTCTTATAATACAGATATCAATTCCTTTGTTTTTGTTCCTTTCTGACAGCATGTGAAATAAAATATATTTACAATTTTATTTAAAGTACATGAAATGTTTACTTAAATAGAAAGTCCCTATGGAAAACAACATAGACTCTAACAAATTTTTTTTTTCTGGCTAACAGAAGTTGTTCACAACTGCTATTATATACTAAGCCTTGAAGAAGCTTAAAATGTTAAACGTAAATCCCATGCATAGTGCTTTAGGATTGTTCATTATTAATGTTATGTGTCTCTTCATATATAACTGTCTCATCAGAATAATTGTAAGAACAGATAGGGACAATATTTGTACTTCCAGGTATGCTCATATACTGGCATTTTGTAACTACTTAAAAGCTTGAAGAGGGTGACTGTGAAACATTGAAAATATTATGAAATGTTACAGTTTATTGTACAAGAAAGGATATTTTAAATGCCCTTACTGTTCATAAGGTGATGATATTTCCTCTTCGAGATACCTGACATATTTCTGAGCATGCTACATTTGTTTTCAGTGACTGCTGGCCCTCATAAACCTGCAAGTGGATTTGCAAAAGACTGTGCTGTGCAGAGTGAGGGTGTGTCAGACCTCCAGGAGGTGGTGTCCTTGAAGGAGCGGATGGCGAGATACCAGGCAGCTGTTTCCAGGGGTGACTGTCGCAGTTTCTCTGCCAATGTAAGCTGCTCCTGATGGTTTTGCATTAAGCAATGTGCTTGTTGTCTGCCTTTCACATGCCCTCCTTATATTGTATATAATTTTGATGGGCAGTTGGATAAAGTTAAAAAAAAAGGCACAGATATAGTGTGACTCAAACTCAGGGGATCTTCCACTTATTATTAGCTTGTGTGATTTTGGTCTACTGTCTTCACTCTTTTTGAACTTCAGTTTCCTTGCCGAAAAATGGGAATAACCATTTATTACAGAGGGTCTTGGTGAAGAGTCAAAGAGATAATTTACATATAAGCCATAAGGCACTGTATAAATGTGTTATTATTGCCATCATTATCATTTAACCTATAGCTATTCTCCTCGGGAAGGTTGAGAATTAATTTCAAATTTTAATAATGTGGGTCTGCTTGCTGCCCTCCTCAGTCTCATATTCATTTGAATTCACTGGCAGTTAATTTCTTTTGCTTTTCTCGTTTCTCTGTATGCACTAAATCCATTAGGAGTAGCTTAATCAACATAGAAATGAGAGAGATTAGCAATGTAGGCACTCTGCTAAACCAATTATGATTATAGGAAACAGCAGGATTCAAGTAAGACCACCAAATTTTAGAGCCAATGTATAATAAAGTCATATTCAATAAAGTTTGTTGGGTTCCATATTCTTTGACCTTCAATCCACAGGATTTGATGAGTCATTTTATTAGTAGCAGCTTTATAGCTTAATGGAATTTAAAGATATTATTTTATAATTATGATCTTCAAATTAGTAAAGTTGTTTATTTAACCAAAAAAGAAAGAATAACCTAAAAGGGTGGTACTCTAAAATAGCTGCTTTTAACATTCTTTTTTACAAATCACTTAAGGACAAGACTGTGCCAAACTCATTAACAATATTGCACTTCTAGATGACATTTAAGTTTTTACATAGTCATTAAAACACATTTTAAATGCAGCATAGATTTCGAATGAATGCAGAGAAATAAAATAGATCACTACAAAACAAATACTATCACTCCAGTGCTTCCTGGCTTCTTAAATAGCACCCCCTGCTGGATCATTAAGGATTTTTTCTGTAAATTAATATTCCAAACAAGAAATTATTCATGAGGAAACTAGTTGATTTTGAAAATACTCAGTTAAAGAGTGGTTATTTAGTAAACAGCATTTTATTTAGGAAAACTATTATCTTTACAGCACTAGAGGACATACCATTAAACAAATTTATATAGCCATGATTTGAATTTATAAAAGAGAATATTTAAACTGGGCACATAGGAAACAAAATTATCTCACCATTTGATACAAAATTTTTTAAAAGGATTTCTGTTCTTAAGATAGTCTCTGTCTCTCGGTCTCTTCCTGCCTCTCCTGCTCTCTCTCCACAAACACACACACACACACACACACACATATTTGAAATGTAATAATCCTTTCCTATCCATTTACAGACAAATAGAAATTAAGGGTAGTGATTAAAGGGAGATTATGCAAATAATTAGTGACAAAGCTAGATTCCTTAGTTTGACACCAGTGCTCTTTTAACTGTATTCAACTGACATCTTACATCAAGAAAGCATCTTTGGCCCAGTATATGCCCCACTGTATGATTTGGCCCTAAGCAGATATGAGAAAAAAAAAAAGGGAATATATATATATATTATCTCAGAGAAATGTTGGTTGGTTGTTGTCTAAAGAAAAGTAAAATAACTTCCTCATTTAATCAGTTGCATCAAATGCTACAATTTTGAAAATAATTTTTAAAATCATTTATCTACAAGACTAAACCAAATATTTTAAGTGCAAAATCTGAAAGCCACTGGGTCTGATTCAACCCCAAACTGATTCCAATATATTTCAGTGACATTGAGATAGATGACAATAATCAGGTAATCATTGTCATAGACTCAGCCAGATGCCATTCGGTTGAACCTAATGAAAGTCATGCCCATGAAAAGGCTGCCATCTGCAGAAGCCCCCTAGGAGCCTGGTAGGAAAGAAGGGGGAGGTAACTTTTGTTTAAAAACAAATTAAAGTGCCAGATTCTATGCTCTGCAGTTGTATTTCCTTTACCATGTTTGACATTCACAAGAGATCTATTGTTTTGTTTTGTTCTTTAAGAAGGAGTTCTTTAAAAAAAAAAGATTTATTTATGTATTTATACAAGCACTGGGTACAGACAGAAGTGCAGGAGGGTGAGAGAATTCACTAGAGCCAGAGCAGAGAGCAGAACAGGCAGACTGACGAAATACACTGCTGAGGGGCGCAGTGGGCGGCAGGAGAGGTCTGCACGCCATGTGGGACCCTCGCCCGGCGGCTGGGGATCGAACTGGCACTGCAGAGGCTGCGGGTAGCTTCGCAACCCAGCGCTCAACCGCTGCACCACTGGGGAGGCCCGAGATCTATTGTTATTCCCAGTTTATAGGAAATAAATCTGAGGTTTAGGAACTCTCGTCCAAGTTTTTAAGATTAAAGCCAAAATCTAAATTATTATTTTAATCTAATGTCATGATCCAATCCAGGATACAACATTGTATATATCTGAGTTTTTTAATTGATTTGTTAGTTATTTACATATTTTATATCTTTGGGGTTACATTATTACTCCTCCATATGTGCACATGCTTCACTCACCCTTCAGCAAACTTCTTGTACCAATGCCTTTTCCCTCTCCTTCCCCTATACTCTCCTCCCTCCCTACCCTTCACTCCCCACCCCTTCCAACACCCTCTTCTGCCCCCACTTCTGTCTGATAACCAGTTTATTTTTCAGTCTAAGAACTGTTTTTGTTGTACCTGGTCAGGAGTTACTTCACCTCAAGGTCCATCCATTTTTGTCCCAAAAGTCATTATTTCATCTTTTCTAATAGCTGAATAGTATTCCATTGCATATATACATAATTTCTTTATCTACTCATCCAGTGTTAGGCACTTAGGTTGGTTCCATGACTTGGCAATCGTGGATAAATAGTCTTACTTCTATCATTAGAGCCTATGGACAGTTGTTCATAAAGGAAGTTGATGATTATGTAATATCTTTACCTAGGTTTAGCATCAAAATGTTAGATATTTAAAGTAACTTATTAAAATATAAAATATACTAGATAGGCTGGTTCTGTGATAGGCATTTAAATTAACTTGTTAATAAACTAATTATTTTTGTCATATCCATTAGATCCGAAGTCTTGTTTCTGAGTCCAAGAATTAAAAAAAATAGGCTAAAAGGATAAGCATTAAAAGTTTCAGTGCAAAGTAATCTTAGTTACATGGTCATTTACAATAAAGCATGTTATTTGGGAATGGTAGTAGTTGGTGCTAAACTAGGCAAAGTCAAGGAATCTTCATCTGGGAAAGCAAGTATCACTCCAGTTCATGGCCAGCAAGTGCTGCTTGACCGTGCCCTATATCTCACATGTGCACAACTTCATTTACAAGCTGGACTGAACAAGGAAACCTGATCATCCTCACATAACTATAACTCAAAGGACTTGCCCATGTAGGTGAGTCAGCAGCAGCACAGGGTAACTAGCATCGGGGGACTAGAATAGTGGTAGTGCTACTAGTAAAAATAATTAACTACAGGCATTTCTGAATGTGGCCTGATTCCAAATTACAATACTAAAGAAAATCAATGGTATATATCTGTATTTTTATTCCATTTGGTAGATGGGAGGCAGATGTTCAGTCTAGAAACAATATCTTTAAAAATTAACTTACTAGGAAAGCATCTAATCATTAATATAATATAATTATTAATATAATATAATTATTTATATTATTTATTATATTATATTATATTATTTATATAATAATTTATATTTATATTATTTATATATTTATATTTATATATTTATATAATAATTAATAATATTATATTATTTATATTATTTATATAATAATATAATTAATTATATTATATTAATGTAATTATATTATTAATATAATTATTGAATGTTTACCAGGTTAATTTGCACATGATTCAGACATTGTTTTATAATTGTTAGAAAGAGGAAGGTTCTTCTTAAAAATACTTACCTTAATCTCTGTAACTTAATACATATATTATCTCTATGTGATCAATCTGAGAAGGTAATTTATGTAAATTAAATGGAAGAGGGAGGGCCTCCCCGGTGGCGCAGCGGTTGAGCGCTGGGTTGCGAAGCTGCCCGCAGCCTCTGCAGCGCCGGTTCAATCCCCGGCCACCCGGAGAGGGTCCCACATGGCGCGCAGACCTCTCCTGCCGCCAGCTGCTCCCTCAGCAGTTTATTTCGTCGGTCTGCCTGTTCTGTTCCCCTCTCTGGCTCTGCTGAATTCTCTCACCTTCCTGCACTTCTGACTATACCCAGTGTTTGTATAAATAAATAAATAAATCTTTAAAAAAAATGGAAGAGGGAGTTAAAAGAAATACTGTGGACTTAATTCACCCTTCTTTATTTTAAATTTTAAGAGATGCTATTGTTTGTTATAGCCTTAACATGTATCATATGACAGTTACTAATCAGAATTCACATTTGAAGTTTGTTGCAGAAGTTCATATAATATGTATCTAGTACATACCAGTATACATTTTTATCTCTTCTTCCCATAAAGCCAATGTGAATATTCTTAAATATTTATAGTTCATGTAATTGGGGAAAGGTGAACTTCATAAACCAGTTGAATTTTTACTAGTAATTTGGACAACCTGCATTTTAATTCAGTCTGTAATATTTTGGAGTATGGGGAACCCCAAGATGTAATTGTGGTAGAATCAGTTTTAGAAACTATATTAGGAGTAAAGATTCTGGGACTCTATGAGTCCAGTCCTTGATATGGGAACCTCAGTTCACTGGTATCTAGTTACTTTCAGGGCTCAAGGCTTCTAGGGTTATGTCAGGACCGGACCAGACCACAGGAGATCTCCTATGATTTGAAGTGTTGCTGGTTTTCCTCCTGGTATTAAGGGACATGGAGGAGGGCAGGTTGGCATGAGGCCTGTTTGCTTGAGTGTTGTCAGCCCATTCGGGTTTGAGTGCCTGCTAGGCCCAGAGTGTGCTGAATCATCAAAACCAAAGCCCTTGAATTATTGCACTTCCACAGGAGCATAAGATCTGACAAGACTCCTCAGTATTTTTCAAGTGGCTCCAAATGATACTTATTGAAAAAGACTTTCTCATCTATAAAATGCCAGTGATGGGCTAGAATTCTGCTCACCTTAAACTCCCCCTCTCCTCTGATTCTCACACACCAATTCTAAAAGCTGAGTGTTAGTCCTGGAGAATCATATCTTCTTTTTTTATGCTTGTTCTTGAAGGGTAATGATTAATACACATACTATGATTTGAACAGAAATCTGGGTTCTAATTCCAGATCCATACCTATAACCTAGTTATGGGAATTTAACATCTGCCTTACTTCTCCCAAACCTCAATTTCCTCGTTTTAAAATGAGGATATGCCCATACCTCACAGAAGATGGAAAAACATTACCAATCACAAAATATTGGTAAATACATAACAATTCACCCAACATGATGTATTAAATAGCTGTTATTATTTCCGATATTAGTATTTTTGTATGAGATACCCTGAGGTTATTTTGTTCATCCTTAATGATTTAAACACATATTGCAATGAGTCAAATGTTTTTAATATTCTTAATAATGTGTTGCCTGTATAGAGATTTGGAATTTTAGTGACAACCTTATTGTAGATTAAAATTGAATCCATTATTCTAATTTCTACTAATCTTTGTAGTATGAGAGTAATATATTCTAATAGGCCTAGTCTCCAGATATCAAAATCTATGTGAAATAAAGAGAATTAACTCAGTATTTTGAAGTCTTCAGAGTTTACATCCAAAGACTGATAAATGAGAAAATAACATAGAGAAGTTATTATGGTTTTCTATAAAGGCCTACTGTGCATGTTAATATCTTTTTAATATACCATCCTTCAATCATGATCAAGCATTTTTTAAAAATCACCAAGAAACTCATCCTGAGTAAATGTAAAACTAAATTTTCCTTTTTCTTAAATCATCTTAGATGATGAAGGAATCAGAGACCTGCACAGTGCCGGGTGGTTTGGCTAGAGTGAAGAGACAGTTCGAGATGGACAAAACTACTGCTTCCCGCAAAGCCCTTTCTCAGTATCAATACCAGCATGAGAATGTATCTACAAAGGTAATTCTGCTATACCTAATGGGTAAATTACACTTGGTTGAAATGCTCACATTTCAGTGCCAATGCAGAACTCACCTTCCCCCCTTGGGTGCTGTACTTTTTTGTCATTACTTACTATAAACAAAAAGTATGCTTTTAAAATATTTTGGAAAATAATCTTTAAAGCTTATCATTTATTGTTTTTTCTTACTTGGAGCATGTATTCACATTCCTAGAAAACCATGCTGGAATGTATTTCATCTCAGTTTCCAATACTTCAAACATATATGAAAATTAAATAGCCTAAGTTAGTCAGCAGGTAAATAGAAATATTGAGAACAGTGTTTATATTAAGCCTCTACTTCTAGCTTATAATACATGATAAACTATCTGTTCATGATAAATTGCTGGTTGCTTGCATAATTTAAATCTGAAGCATTATTCAGCTGATTATTGTGATGAATTTTCTATTTCTTTAAAATCATCAAAAACTGAGCAGTAGAATCAGATGTTACATAAAATGCATGATGCAACTTCTAAATGTTATCTTAGATTAAAAATTTTTTTCATTTCATTACCCCATTATCAAATATCAGCAAATAGTATCAAGGTATATAATGATTTTTGAATGTGAATATATAAGTAATAAAATTCATTAGATTAAGCCTGATAACTTTGTAAAATAGTAATTGCACTCTAAACAACTATACTCTGGTTCATATTTTAATGAGGAAAAAAATATTGAGGTGTTTCTGAAATGTTTGTAGTGGGAGATAAACATAGGTATTTTATTTTTATAAAATTCCTTAGGATATTTAGTTCCCTAAGTTTTAAGAAAAATAAGGCAACTGGTTGTATGTATGATAGTGATAGTGGAGTATATCAGAGTGATTAAAAATCTAATACATGAAAATAGTATTTTTTTTCTGACTTGGTCTGAAAGGTTAAAAATGTGCAATATAGGTAGCTCAATTTATGGTAAGATTTAATTTTACCTAAAGAAAACCATGTAGGGAACCCCCTGGTGGCACAGGGATTAAAGACACAGCACTATCAAGCTATCGCCAGGTGCTACAGCATGAGTTTGATCCCCAGCCAGGGAGCAACCCACATGGCACAGCAGACCTCTCCTGCCTCGCCCGCTGCTCCCCTCAGCAGTGTATTTCTTTTTTTTTTTTAATTTTTAATGCTATTTAGCAGTGTATTTCAATAGATCTGGCTGTTCTGCCCCCTACTTTCTTTGCTGAATCCTCTCACTCCCCCCACCCCCAACCTCTGGTCTACACTTCAGATCTTATATGCATAAATAAATATTTTTTTTTAAAAAGAAAGCCATGCAAATAAGAAATTAAGGTTGAATATACTTGTGATCTAATATATAATTGCTGCAACATAGGTATATGTTCTTGAAATTGACCAAAACCAAAAAATATATTTATCATTAATAATTTAAGTGAAAAATTCTACATAGGTATAGACAATGCATTTATAGATATTTTATTTCACAGGGAAGCAGTGTGACAGAGTGTAAGCACTATTAAACATGTAGATTTTGAGTTCACATTGCATCTCTGCCACTTACCAGCTGAATGACAGAGATCCAGGGTCACCTTCACAGGTGTGTGGCTTGGGTGGTTACTCAGGCCCATCTTTAGAAAGGATCTGTACCTATTTTAATGCTCTGCTGTCATCATCACCATAAAATTCTACATCTTTATTTTGTACTGGGTCTGTCAAACCAAATTCATAACCCCCTTAAACTTCTGTTTCTGATGAGTTAGATGGTGAAACTGGTGAGTAATTTGTCCATCAAATGAGGTTATTGTGGAAGTCTAGATGACAAAGACTAATTTCTGTGAAAGTATTTCATTAGGCATGAACTTGAATCACTTAGGACTCTTTAATATTGCAGAGACCAAAAACTCAACTAAAAATGGCTTAAACCAAAAGGAACATTCTAGAGTCGCAAAAATGCAATAGTGTGAAGGGAAGTATCATATAATCTCCAATGATGTACTAAAACAGCTGGCTAGCTTATACCATCTCTCCAATTATTAAACTTTGGGGGAATTTTGCAGACCACATGATATCATGTTAATAGCTTCAAATCAATCATAGGGAGGATATTTATATCAAGGAAATTGGCAAATGCAGTGAATCAAGATATTCTCTCTTTCTCTCTCTCCCTGTGCTCCCCTCTTCTCCCACCTCCAGCCTCTCCCTCCCTCCCTCTCTAGAACCCATTGTTAAGAAAGTTCCACTTAAGTAAAGGCTCACAATATGTCCCAAGTATAGTGGCTAACAGCACAGAAACAAGTCAGAGCCCTTGGGTCTAGGAAATTTCCTCAGTTACAAAGTGAAATTATAATAGTAGCCACCTGATGATAAGCTCATTAACAGGATTAAATAATTTGTATATTTAAAGTGCTTAAGACTGTGCCTGGCCCATCAAGTACAAGTTTTTGTTTAAAATAACTAAGTATCATCACTATTATATTTTTTTCCTTTTTTATCCCTCAGCCCATTTCCTCTGTGCTGGACCCAATCTCACCCAAGTTTCCCCCAGCAAGTAGTGAAGAAAGATGCAGAAAGATGTGAGAATCCTTTTCCCTGAAGTCCAAGGGGAAAAAAAGTACCTTACTACATTCTAATTGACTCTAAATGGACAAATGCATTCCTCCTAGAAATAACTGCTATAACTGGAGGGTGCTAATTGACTGAGATTTCTTTTTTCTCTTTTTAAAATTTTATTTTTTTTACTCCTGTTTATTAAATTAACATTACTTTACAACACTGTATAGGTTTCAGGGGCATAAGGTTCACACCTCTGCAGATGCATGCTCTCACACCACACTCACCACCAAAGCACCAAAAATCTTCCCCAATAGCCCACTGGGCCTCATCCCCGACTCTGATCCCACTTTCCCACTCTCTTCTTCTGGTAACCTCAGTTCTGCTGTCAGATTCCAAGAGTTTTTATCTGTCCCTTAGCTTTGATTTTTTATATTTCACATATGAGTGCCTGAGGCTTCTGTATTTGTTTCCCAGAAGTGGAAGTTCTTGGCATAAGGTTATCCACGAAGATGAATGGTTGCCAGATAAAAAGAAAACAAGAGAGAGAGGAAGAGAGATCTCCACTATAAGCTCCTTGTCAATGTTGATAATGATGGTGATGATGATGATTATAGGGTATACTTGATCATTGTGTGAATGGGAAATACTAATGTGTAGCAGTGTATTAAAAAACCACTAGAAGTATCAATAGCTGCATGATTCTGGGCTGGTAGTGACCTCACTAAACTTCACTTTCATTATCTACCTCTAGACATGCTAATAATACCCAATTACTCCATGAGGAATGAGTAAACCTGTTATAACAAAATGCAGTGTAAATAAAGTATAAAGGAAACATGTGAGAATAAGCCAGCAAATGTCATTTATTGAACTGTAGGAAGGAGTCTGGAAAAATGAAAGAAAAAAAGTCTTCTATACATTAGAAAATTAAGTGACTATTTTATAATCCCAATGAGAAATTTCTGATACAATTTGATTTGGACTAGGGCCTCCCCTGGTGGCGCAGCGGTTGAGCACTGGGCTGTGAAGCTGCCCGCAGCCTCTGCAGTGCCGGTTCGATCCCCGGCCACCAGCGAGGATCCCACATGGTGCGGCAGACCTCTCCTGCTGCACCCGCTGCTCCCCTCAGCAGTATACTTCATCAGTCTGCCTGCTCTGCTACCGGCTCTGGCTCTGGTGAATTCTCTCACCCTCTCGCGCTTCTGACTGTACCAAGTGCTTGTATAAATAAATAAATCTTAAAAAAAAAAAAAATTGGACTAGAGGGGAAAATAAAGAAAAATCATATCTTAGATACTTAAACTTTTAAAGCTATCTCAATGCATTCGAAAAATCCCTTCTTTTATCAGTGGGAATTGAGGACAAGACATTTACTGGTAGAGACAGACAGTTAATTCTTTCTTACCTAAGCTACTGTCAGCTTTGATAGTGTTTTCAGTCACTTTTGCCTGTTGAAAGTATACTTGAGATTTATCTCTTCTACGTCTGCCCCTGGCCAAAGAGTGTTTATTTAGTTGCCATATAAAAATTAATATTAATTTGAAAATCAAATGTAATTAGAGGTAAAAGAAGTAATATTTGTTTTGGATTTCTGACAATATTTAATGTCACAATTAATAATAGGTTCATAGGGTATAGTAATTAACTCCAAGCTGCTTTTTTCCTTTCTAATGTACTGCAATCAGATATTTCAAGGGAATTAGCTGACGATTTGGTAATAGTTGTCTGGGAGATCAGCAATGAGACTAAACAAGTTTGGAAAAATCAGACTAGTTTATACATATTGAAAACAGGATTATAAAGTAGAAAAAGGAGGGAGTATTATTTATAGGAACTCTCATTTTTGCCAGACATTTTAAACTTGGGATTGTGTCCCACTTATATATTCTAGACTTGCCATGCTTTATGGTTCTGCCTATTTAACAGGTAACGATATCACTGCTGGCCTGTGGAGTATCCTTATATAAATTCGAAAAAGGGACCACTGTGGATAATCAGAAGTCCTTGGCAGGGAGCTTGGGGTTAGGATTCAGCTTCTTAGAAGACTGTGTTGGAGAATCTTTATTAGGAGGCTCTGGTAGTTATTACTGTTTTTAACATTGCCTAGGGATACTCAGCTTTTCCAAACACACATAACTGATTTCAGTAGATATGAATGAAATCCAGCTGTCCTTAACATTTACATGTCATTCATTACGTCTCCTCTTGATGCCTTGATTATAATATCTCATCAGCATTGTCTCTGATTTTGTTTTAAGACTGAGTTCTCAGCATCAGTGAAAATCAATAGATCCTTAATGCTAAAATGGAAAGGACCACTTAAAAGGAGTGTTTTTATTCCACTCACTACAGTAGACTCCCTTTTGGAAGAACATTCTGAATATTCCATTCCCTCATCCTTAAAAAGGTGTCTTGAAATATCCCGAAACAGATTTTAGAATAAATGT